CAGGTTAAATTTAATGAGCAGATCTAGGTCCGAATTTACTAAAAATAAAGAGCACAAGGTGGGCTTTTACTACAAGGATTAAGATGATGCAGAGGATACAGTAATGTTAAATTGCTCAGCAGGAGGACAATTTTATTAGGAGATAATAGGCCTAACCAAAGTATGCCTAACTTACCTAATGTAAAACAAATTGCAAAAACATGCTCCACAGATATCCATTCTATCTGGTGGCCAGGGAGGTGAGAACACCTTAATAGGGTCAATATATTAAAAACTAAAGAGACACAGGTCTTTACTTATTTGCAGAGGTTAGTCTAATTTTTGGTAGCCATACACTGACATTAACTAAGGAGGAACAATGTGACATGAACATAAATCTATAAATAAATTTTGCTGCACTTGTATTGCAATATATATATAACATATATGTATAAATAAATAAACAACTGTGTCTATATTTCCCACAATCAGTGTATGACTTTAAATCATGTGTATTTATAATCACAAAATAATATGTGTATATTACCACAACTAATCAATAAAACAACAAAAAAAATCAAATAGTGAAAAAAGTCTATCTGTGATAATTCATTCGACCAATTGTAATGCTTCCAATATACTGTATGCAAGTAAACGTGTATTCTCCTAAAGAAAAGGACCTCCACTGAATCCCAAAAGTTGTCCACTCACCTTATTAGTTGACCCTCAACATAAAGGTCCACTATGCATAATACCACTTTTAGGACCCAGATGGCAACAAGATTCCTCCAGGCTTATTCAACCCAATTAAACTACCATCCACTGCTGAGTCTCCAAAAATGTTCTCTGGTACAAGCATGATTAATTAGATTGCACAATTAAACACACAAATAAAATAAAAACAAACACTAGCGTTCTCCATTTGCTATTTATTACATAAAAATAAAAAATATACTCACATAGTGTTACAGACAGAATCACTTTGTACAGGAAGTCAGTGGCACTGTTATAAAGATAGGTTGCTCACAGTCAAGAGCAAAGATCATTCCACTCAGTAGATAGCCAGTTCGGACTTCCATGCTTCGCCCAACATGTTTCCTCAATTGTGACATCTTCAGGGTCATGGATAGAGGCAGTCAAGGGAAAAGCATATATAGAGAGACAAGTGACATCAATCATCCTCTGTTGTATCCCACCAGCTCTAACTAGTTAGTCAAAATCATACACTGATTGTGGGAAATATAGACACAGTTGTTTGTTTATTAATATACATACTGTACAGTATGCTTTATACACTGCTCAAAAAAATTAAAGGAACACACAGGAAAACACATCAGATCTCAATGGGGAAAAATATCAGGCTGGATAACTATACTGATATGGACTGGGTAATGTGTTAGGAATGTAAAGATGCCCCATCATTTGATGAAAATGAAAATTATCCACCTACAGAAGACTGAATTCAAAGACACCCTGAAAATCAAAGTGAAAAATGATGCAGCAGGCTAGTCCATTTTGCTGAAATTTCATTGCAGTAACTCAAAATGCTACAGAGTAGTTTGTATGACCCCCACGTGCTTGCATGAATGCCTGACATCGGGGCATGCTCCTAATGAGACGACAGATGGTGTCCTGGGGTGTTCCCTTCCAGATCTGGACCAGTGCATCACTGAACTCCTGGACAGTGTGAGGTGCATCCTGGTGTCGTCAAATGGTCCGAAACATGATATCACAGAGGTGTTGTATTGGATTTAGGTCAGGTGAGCTTGGGGGCTATTCAATGGTATCAATTCCTTCATCATCCAGGAACTGCCTGCATAATCTAAGCACATGAGGCTGGGCATTGCTGTGCACCAGGAGGAACCCAGGATACACTGCACTAGCGTAGGGTCTGACAAAGGGTCCAAGGATTTAATCCTGATACCTAATGGCAGTCAGAGTGCCATTGTCTAGACTGTAGAGGTCTGTGCGTCCTTCCATTGATATGCCTCCCCAGGCCATCACTGATCTACCACCAAAACGGTCATGCTGAACAATGTTACAGGCAGCATAACCTTCTCCACTGCTTCTCCAGACCCCTTCACGTCTGTCACATGTGCTCAGGGCAGGGGCGGACTGACAACTCATGGGGCCCCCAGGCAATAAGGGATCATGGGGCCCCTGTTTCCTCGCCCACACCCAAAAAAGCCTATGAAAAAGCCAATGAAAGGTAACAGGGGCATCTCATGGGGCCCCCTACTTACCCCGGGCCCTCGGGCAGTTCCCGAGTGCTTGAATGGTCAGTCTGCCCCTGGCTCAGGGTGAACCTGCTCTCATCTGTGAAAAGCACAGGGTGCCAGTGGTGGACCTGCCAATTCTGGTGTTCAATGGCAAATGAATGAGATCTATGGTGCCAGGCAGTGAGCACAGGGCCCAGTATAGGATGTCAGGTCCTCAGGCCACCCTCATGAAGTCTGTTTGGTCAGAGACATTCACACCAGTGGCCTGCTGGAGGTCATTTTTTAAAGGCAGTGCTCATCCTGTTCCTCCTTGCACAAAGGAGCAGATACCGGTCCTGCTGATGGGTTAAGGACCTTCTACAGCCTTGTCTAGCTCTCCTAGAGTAACTGCCTGTTTCCTGGAATCTCCTCCATGCTCTTGAGACTGTGCTGGGAGACACAGCAAACCTTCTGGCAATGGCACGTATTGATGTGCCATCCTGGAGGAGTTGGACTGTCTGTGCAACCTCTGTAGGGTCCATGTATCGCTTCATGCTACCAGTAGTGACACTAACACTAGCCAAATGCAAAACGAGTGAAAAACAGTCAGAAAATATGACTAGGGAAAAACATGTCAGTGGCCTCCGCATATAAAACCATTCCTGTTTTGGGGGTTGTCTCATTGTTACCCATCTGGTGCACCTGTTGGTAAGTTCATTGACACCAAAGCAGCTGAAACTGATTAACAACCCCCTCTGCTATTTAACTGACCAAATCAATATCCCAGGAGTTTAATTGACTTGATACTATACTCTGATTAAAAAGTGTTCTTTTAACTGTTTTGAGTAGTATGTATTGTAATACAAGAACAGCACAATTTACTGTATTTACAGTTTCTTTGAAGCATTGATCACTTTGGTGCTTGCAGCTGTAAGTTAGGGAGACAGGTGTGTGAAATGTACTGACTACTCATAAATATTATGCCACCAAGCATATATATTGCACCTTCCATGGGCAGAACCAGATAGATGATCTAACACCTTCGCTGTCGGAATATTGAGACACATGATGAAGTTGAAGCCATTTATGAGACAGAAGCCAAAGAGTATGGGTTATAATAAATGTATTAAGATATTTAACATCATTAAACAAGAGCACTAAGAAATATCCTTTGTGACTTCTAGTTGGATGTCTAGTCTTTGACATCTGCGAAGCAAGTTGTTGCATGTACTTTTTTAACATTAAGGTTGGTATGTTCATAAATCTATCATGTAGCTACACTCTCCGGAGGAAGTGAACATTGTTCTTAAAATACATAGAGAGCTGTTACGTCTCCAGTAAAGAATGATGCAACACCTGCAGTTCAAATATGCTATGTAAAATCTATAAAATATCTAATATATGGTAGAATGGATGTAAAATGTTATTACTTACCAGCCTTAGAATGTATCTATATGTATTTTATGTAGTATAACTTTTATTGAAAAAAACAATAATTTATTGATTTTACATGCTTGTATTTGTGTACTTGTAAAGTTCCACTTGTTTGGGATTCAAACCAGCAACGCAACGCTAGTGCCAGCAACGCTAGTGCCGCTAGGCGGAAGAGCTAAACATTTAGTCACTGTGGGGAAGGAAGGAAGGAAGGAAGGCTGGCTAGCTAAATACATACATAGGGCAGCACAGTGGATATGTGGTTAGCACTTCCGCCTAGCAGCACTAAGGTCATCGGTTAGAACCCCAACTACATTTCTACCGGGAGTTTGCATGTTTTTAGAACCCCAACTGTGACTGTGTGGGTTTACTCTAAAGACATGCTGGCAGGTAAATTGGCCCTAGTGTGTGTATGTATGAATGTGAGTTTGGGACCTTAGAATGTAAGCTCCTTGAGGGAAGGGACTGATGTAAATGTACAATATATATGTAAATTGACAGCATTATATAAGTGCCTGTAATAAATATATACAGTTGTGTACAAAATAATAGCAGTGTGTTGAAAAAAGTGAATAAAGCTCAAAATCCTTCTAATAGCTTTTATTTCCATACACACAAAATGCATTGGGGACACTACACATTCTATTCCAAATCAAAACATGAAGAAAAATAGTAAAATTTGTGTTCCTCTAAAAAAATGGAAGAAAACTGTTCAAAAAAATAGCAGTGTTTGTATTCTTCTTTACAAACTCAAACATTCACTATATAAACTGAAAAATGTTTGAAGATTTTGCTTTCCTTTGAATCACTTAATTAATATGTAGTTGTATAATCACTGTTTCTGAGAACTGCTGTACATCTGTGTTGCATGGAGTCACCCAACTTCTGGCACCTGTGAACAGGTATTCCAGCCCAGGATGATTGGACTACATTCCACAGTTCTTCTCTATTTCTTGGTTTTGCCTCAGAAACTGCATTTTTGATGTCACCCCACAAGTTTTCTATTGGATTAAGATCCGAAGATTGGGCTGGCCACTCCATAACGTCAATCTTGTTGGTCTGGAACCAAGATGTTGCACGTTTACTGGTGTGTTTGGGGTCGTTGTATTGTTGGAACCCATTTCAAGGGCATTTTCTCTTCAGCATAAGGCAGCATGACCTCTTCAAGTATTCTGATGTATTCAAACTGATCCATAATCCTTGGTATGCGATAAATAGGCCCAACCAGGGGTGGACTGACAACTCATGGGGCCCCCAGGCAATAGGGGATCATGGGGCCCCTGTGTCCTTGCCCAAACTCAAAAAAGCCTATGAAAAAGGGTACCAGGGGCATCTCATGGGGCCCCCTACTGACCCGAGTGCTTGAGTTTCCAAATAGTCAGTCCGCACCTGGGCCCGACACCATAGTATAAGAAAACATCCCCATATCATGATGCTTGAGCAACCATGCTTCACTGTCTTCACAGTGTACTGTGGCTTGAATTCAGTGTTTGGGGGTCATCTGACAAACTGTCTCTGGCCACTAGACCCAAAAAGAACAATCTTACTTTCATCAGTCCACAAAATGTTGCGCCATTTCTCTTTAGGCCAGTCAATGTGCTCTTTGGCAAATTGTAACCTCTTCAGCACGTCTTTTTTTTTTTCAACAGTGGGACTTTGCGGGGGCTTCTTGCAGATAGCTTGGCTTCACATAGGCGTCTTCTAATTGTAACAGTACTCACAGGGAACTTTAGACCTTCTTTGATCTTCCTGGAGCTGATTGTTGGCTGAGTCCTTGCCATTTTGGCTATTCCTCTATCTATTGAAATGGTAGTTTTTTGCTTTCTTCCACGTCTTTCAGGTTTTGGTTGCCATTTTAAAGCATTTACGATCATTTTAGCTGAGCAGCCTATCATTTTCTGCACTTCTTTATATGTTTTTCCCCTCTCCAATCAACTTTTTAATCAAGGTACGCTGTTCTTCTGAACAATGTCTGGAACGACCCATTTTCCTCAGAATTTTAAAGAGAAATGCACTGTAACCAGCATGTACAACATTTGCTGCCTTCCTTCCTTAAATAAGGGCAATAATTGCCAGCTGTTTTTCAAAGAATGAATGACCTCACTAATAGAACTCCACACTGCTATTATTTTGAACATGCCCCTTTCAATTAGTGATTCAATTACACAGAATCAGCAGCATGCATGTCATGACTGTTGGGTCTGTTGGATTTCTATTACTCTACTATACCTGCTAGTAAATTATTTGCCATGTAGAAATATCATTTCTACCAAAAACAGTGATTGATCAGGTTAGTGATGTCTGACTGCTATTATTTTGAACACAACTGTAAGTAATATAGTTGTAGACAGAAGATGAGGGTATATGCCCATCAATTGGAGCATGGACACAATTTGTTAAGGCTCCGTTCATACTTGTACGACTTTGGAGTGCAACTGTAACACAACTTTGATGCAACTTTGGATGAGTGAAACTTGGCTACTCCTTTGGCTTTCATTAATGATAATGGACAACTGTTGCACAGCTGTTGTATGTATATCATTCAGGTGCAACTTTCATACTACTTTTAAAGGGTTTTCATTGCAGTCTATGGCACTCAAGTTGCATGAAAGTCATACCAAAGTAGTGCATGAACTAATTTGAAGGCGCTATGACTTGACATCACATAGATATGAATGATGCCCATTGGGAAACATGGGGGGATGACTTATCATGCGACTTTGGACCACAAGTTGCACAAATGTGAATGGGCTTTTAAAGATAGGTTCACCTTTCATAACATGTTACACCCATATTCAGGGTGTAACATGTAGTATGTTATGAACGGACTGAGCCCCACTCCTCCCCGCTCCCCTTTGTAACAGCTAGCGGGGGATCTTCTCTTCCCCGCTAGCTGTCACAATTGTAAAAAACGCGTCCGTGCAGGGCTCCGCCCACCCAGCCATGTCATTCATTCATGGTGTTCTGTGAATGAATGAATTAACTACCAGTCCCGTCAGCCTTTGCAGCTGTCGGCTTGTAGTTCTCAATACGGGCAAGCAGATATACTGACAGATCTGCAGGAGACCTGCATGGCACCAGCGATCTGCTGATAGCTGGTGCAATGCTATAGAGAAACAAAAAATAATACAATTGACTTTATTTACATACCAAAAAATGTGCATTTTTTATTTTTTGTGAAAAAGGTGAACTTATCTTTTAAAGTTAAGTTTCCTTTTTTCCATTCTTTGATGCATACAACTATAGCTTCTTGTACATAGTGTCATCTTTCACTACAAGTTCATTTTAAAACTGAAAATGTACTCTCCTTATCCATTCAATACACATTGTTCATAGATAAATATAAATTTTTATATATATATATACAATTCTATAAACCATATTCACATTTATTTCATTCACAGTGTCCTTGGCATTGTATAGCTTAAAACATGTATTTACTATGAATCAAAACTGCCTTTGAATATTGATATTTGAGCTGGTGAATAATAATGACTCAGAATTTAACTTATATAAAGTATAACAAGTCATGCCTTTGTGAGGGCATTGTATGGTCTTAATACAGAAGTCATATTATAGAATAAGATGGGTAAACTCCTGATGTCAATAAATTCATTTAACAACCCCAGCACACCTACGACTTAATTGCATGATAACTGATATAAATCATGTAACATTTGTGTCAAAGATATGATGGAATTTTCAATGTGTTTGACTAATAATTCTAAAGGTTAACAGAATTTTATTAAAACATCTTCTGGTTATTTGGGTATTGAAATGGTCAGAAAAAAAACTGTCTCCAAATGAATGATCACTTTATCTATTAATCAGTATCCAAAGGACATGTTTAGAATATAGCTATTTCTTCAAAGCAGAAACAGGTAGAAATCTGTAACAACATTTGTTAAAGTTATTGCAATATATATGCTGTATCACACCCAAGGGGGGTTGTTTTTTTTGTCTCTCAACAAAAGTGGAGTTACTACACTTTCCTATCAATGACCTGTATTAAATAACAACTTGTTTCTTAATTTTTTTTCAATTACCCTTCTGCAACCATTTCATTTTCTAAAAACTGCCCAAAATGAATGGGCATCTCTGAGCAAATATTAACAACACACCCCTCCCCCCATCTCTGTCTCTCACCTTTTTTATCTACCACTCTCCTTGGGAAGAGGCCCTTGTCCCCATCAACACAGAGTTCCCCCCTGCCCCAAAGCACCCCCCCGATGTCGAGGCATGTGGCCTGGTATGGTTCAGGAGGAGGAACGATCGCTCGCCCCCCCCCCCCCCCACCTTTCCTGGTCTGGAATGGATTTGGGGGCCACACCATTTTTTTCATATTAACAATTTTATTGATTTTCTACAAAGATATACAGTTGCAAGAAAAGTATGTGAACCCCTTGGGATTACATGGAGTTTTTGCATGAATTGGGCATAAAATGTGCTCTGAATGTCATCTAAGTCACAACAATAGAAGAACACAGTCTGCTGAACATAATACTACACAAAACATTAGATGTTGCCATGGTTTAATTGCACATAACATGTAAACATTCACAGTGCAGGGAGGAAAAAGTATGTGAACCTTTGGACTTAATAACTGGTTGACCCTCCTTTGGCAGCAATAACCTCAACCAAACGTTTCCTGTAGTTGCAGATCAGACCTGCACACAACGATCTGGAGTCATTTTGGAACCACTCCTCTTCACAAAACTGTTTCAGTGTAGCAATATTCTTGGGATGTCTGGTGTGAATCGCTCTCTTAAGGTCATGCCACAGCATTTCAATCGGGTTTTTAGAGGTCAGGACTCTGACTGGGCCACTCCAGAAGGCATATTCTGTGCTGTTGCAGCCATTGTTTTGTTGAATTACTTGTATGCTTTGGGTCATTGTCCTGTTGCATCACCCATCCTCTGCGGAGCTTCAGTTGGTGGACAGATGGTCGTACGTTTTCATGCAAAATGTCTTGATAAACTCTGGAATTCATTTTTTCCCATCAATGACAACAATCCGTCCAGGCCCTGAGGCAGCAAAGCAGCCCCAAACCATGATGCTCCTCCGCCATGTTTCACAGTGGGGATGAGGTTTTGATATTGGTGTGCTGTGCCTTTTTTTCTCCACACATAGTGTTGTGTGTTCTTCACAAACAACTCAATCTTGGTTTCATCTGTTTCATATATTTTGCCAGTAGTGCTGTGGAACATCCAGGTGCTCTTTTGCAAACTTCAATATTCTTTTTGGACAGCAATGGCTTCCTCCGTGGTGTCCTCCCATGTACTCCATTCTTGTTTAATGTTTTCCTTATTGTAGATGTGTCAGCAAAAATGTTAGCATGTGCCAGAGATTTCTGTAGGTCTTTAGCTGACACTCTGGGATTCTTCTTTACCTCATGCAGCATTCTGCGCTGTGCTCTTGCAGTCATTTTTACAGGACGACCATGCCTAGGGAGAGTAGCAACAGTGCTAAACTTTCTCCATTTGTAGACAGTTTGTCTTACCGTGGACACATGAACATCAAGGCTTTTGAAGATACTTTTGTAACCCTTTCCAGCTTCATGCAAGTCAACAATTCTTGATCGTAGGTCTTCTGAGAGCTCTTTTCTGCGAGGCATGATTCACAACAGACAGTGCTTCTTGAAACCAGTAAACGCAAAACAGGTGTGTGTTTTTTAAGGGCAGAACAGCTGTCAGCAACACATCCAATTTCATCACACTGATTGGAGTCAAGGTTGACTCACTCCTGGCTCCAATTAGCTCTGGGAGAAGTCATTTAAGCTAGGGCCTCACATACTTTTTCCTCCCTGCACTGTGAATGTTTACATGTTATGTGCAATTAAACCATGGCAACATCTAATGTTTGTGTAGTATTATGTTCAGCAGACTGTGTTCTTCTATTGTTGTGACTTAGATGACGTTCAGAGCACATTTTATGCCCAATTCATGCAAAACTCCACGTAATCCCAAGGGGTTCACATACTTTTTCTTGCAACTGTATATATATATAGGGGTTGGACAAAATTATGGAAACACTACACAATTTACATTTGTGAAAGTGATGACATGTTTGGCGTTGAAAGTGGAAGTGATGTAACATTCTTTTGCTTCTACTGTGTGATGTGTAGTGATGTGCTTCATGTTCGAGTCAAACGTACGTTGCCAAACAGCGGGAGCCAGTGATGGGAGCTGAATGGTTTTTCTTTTTTTTTTCTTTTTTTGGGTCGGCGGTGGCGGCGGGCATCGTGATTGACGTTGAATCTACTTCGGGGGACATTTTTTAAATTTTTGTTTTTAATAAAGGACTTGTCAAAGACTGCCTCCTGTCATTTTTTGCTAGACTTTTTTTTTTCTGTGAATAGGTAGTGGTACCATGTACTCATACTCATTCACATGGGGGGGGGGGCTTTGTTAAAGGAGGCTTCCAATTCTGATAAGCCCCCCACCCGCAGACCCCCACAGCCACTGGCCA